AATTTTCAACACAAGAAACGTTAATAATGCATCGGTTAGTTTTGCAAGGCTCTGCTTCATTTTCTCATGGAGTCAGACCCAGGGTTTCTGATCCTGGCATTATCTGAAGGTGTACCTTGCCTTTAAATACTTTTCACAGAAAAGTCAAACACTTGTATAAACAAGAAAGTATGTCTCAGCAGGAGCAGTACCTACCCAACATCCCCTCACCCCCAGAATGGTCTGTGGAAGACAACATGGAGCTCGGAGACAGTAGCGGCAGAGCTAAACCGTTAGGTAACGACTCTGGGGTAAGGCAAAGTGTGTTAGTGTCTGCAACATTATCCATTTTTGCCCAATCATTTTAGGATAAATTAGGATCAGACTTAAACTTAGGATGGTGAGTGACTGAGGACATCGATTCACCATCATTTTGTTACTTCTGGGTTCTCATCATTCAGAGGAAGACCAGATTCAGGGAAGTGTGTCAAAGCATGCAGAAGAACGGTCTTTCTGCCCCACCGTTATATTGATTAGAATGGAAAGACAGGAGTAAACACAGCTAGCTCTAGACTGGCGGAGTCAAGGTGGGTGTTTCCTTCTGTTTTATTGATGTAGTATTGGAAAAATGTTTATAGCTAAGGTTCACAATGTGATTACTCAAAACATGTATCCGCTGCATGCTGTGGTTCAAATATAAACCATCTCCCACAGGCTCCTGTGCTAAAGACTATATTCCCGCCGGGCGGTGGTGGCGCACACCTTTAATCCCAGCACTCGGGAGGCAGAGGCAGGCGGATCTCTGTGAGTTCGAGGCCAGCCTCGTCTCCAAAGCGAGTTCCAGGAAAGGCGCAAAGCTACACAGAGAAACCCTGTCTTGAAAAACAAAAAAACAAAAAACAAACAAACAAAAAAAAAACAACAAAGACTATATTCCCAATAGATGCTATTTTAGAAGATTCTAGAATCATTAGAGGCACGGTAGCTGGAGTAAGTAGGTTGCTGGAAAGATCTTTGGGTGTCTCCTGTCCCTAATAACTTCCTGTTTCCTCTCTGCTTCCTGTCTGAAATGAGCTGACACAGCACTGCGGCCACATGTTCCTGCTGCCTTGATGTCCCACCTAAACCACTGGGGTGAAGCAGCCCCAGACTTGACCCCCTGACATCCTGAACCCCAAGTAAAGTTAGCCACAAAGAATCATTTTTCCTTTTTTTTTTTTTTTTTTTTTTTTTTTTTTGGTTTTTCGAGACAGGGTTTCTCTGTGTAGCTTTGCGCCTTTCCTGGAGCTCACTTGGTAGCCCAGCCTGGCCTCGAACTCACAGAGATCCGCCTGCCTCTGCCTCCCGAGTGCTGGGATTAAAGGCGTGCGCCACCAACGCCCGGCTCATTTTTCCTTTTTAAATGTTAGGTATTTCAGTATAGTGATATAACGTAAACAATACACTGTGAAATGATTTCTGTGATCAACTAATTGTGTGTGTGTGTGTGTGAAGGCCTAAACTCTACTCTCTTAGTAAATCCTAAATGTATAACACATGATTATTATAGTTAAAACGCCATGTGTGAAGTTTTCAGAACTTGCTAATGTTATAACAGGAGTTTAATCCATTTGATCAACATTTCTCAAGTTCCTTCCATGCTGGGCTCTCACGACTATTGCTGTAGCCTTTGCTTTTTTAATGGCCTTTGTACATACTATGTATGAGTAACTGTCTTTTTCAATTATCCTGGTTTCTCTAAGCAAAATGTCCTCTGGGTTCATCAATGTTCTCACAGACGGTAGGCCTGCCTGCTTTCGTTTTCAGGACTTTCGTTTGTGAGGTTAGGTACTTCTGTTACCGCTGTGGCAGAGTGCCGGACAGAAGCAAATGCAGTCCATGAGGACGCAGAAGGCCCAGTAGTTAGAGCACCTTCGGCAGCTGTGGCAGCAGGAAGCATGAGGTGGCCGATCACATTGCCACTGTGGTCAGGAAGCAGGTGAAGGCTGCCGCTCACTCCTTCCCTTTTATTCAGTCTGGGACCCCAGTTCATAGGATGGTGCTGTCCACACTGAAGGTAGGTCTTCCCTCTAAGTATTTTGGAAACCCTTTGACCCCACCCACCCACTCCAAAGGTATATTTCCATGGTGATTCTAAATCCAGTTAATAAACATTGACAAGCAAAGCTAGATACTGTTCCACATGTGTATGTGTGCATGCATATAAGCCACACATAAATAAATAAACCTTGGCTGTTGTTAAGCGGTATCACAATGACCATGAGAATGTAGACATCTCTCTGGTGCTAAATTCTATTCTTTTGGATATATATCTGAAGGGTAAATTGATGGCTCATATGGTAGCTCATCTTAACTTTTCTGAGGACGTTCATCTTGTTTTCTATGATGATTACATCACTTAGATTCCAACAACAACATAAGAGGTTTCCCCGTTCTCCACACGCTCACAACACCTGATGTGTTTGACTCATGGGTTATAACCATCTTAACAGGTGTGAGGTAACATCTCACTCATCGCAATCTCATTTGCTTTTCCTGAGGATCACAGAAATTGAAGATCTGTTGGTCTCCTTATGCCCTTTTTATTTTCTTTTGAAAATATCTGTTGAGATCCTTTGCCTTTTGTGATACTAAATCATGTGAATTTCTTGCATTTTAAAGAGATCAGTCCCTTTTTGGATATATCATTTTCAAATATTTTTCTGATTCCTTAGGTTGCCTTTCCGTGTTATTTTTTTCTTCTTCTTCACTGTATAGAAATCTCTTAATTTGATGCAGTCTCACTGTTTATTTTTGTTTCGTTGTCTGTGCCCAAAAATTAATTGCTCAAACAAGGAGCTTTCTCCATACTTTCTTTTAGGAGTTTTACGGCATCAGTTTTAAGTTAAACCCTTTGTGCTGGATAGTTTTATGTCAGCGTGACACAAGCTGAACTCATCTGAGAGAAGGGAACCTCAATTAGGAAGCTGCCTCCATCAGGTAGGGTTACTGGAAAGCCTGTAAAGCATTTTTTAAATCAGTGATTGATGGGGGAGGGCCCAGTCCCTTGTGGGTGGTGCCATCCCTGGGCCCGTGGTCCTGGGTTCTGTAAGAAAGCAGGTAAGCTTTGAAAGCAGCACCCCTCAGTGGCCTCAGTCTGAGCTCCTGCCTCCAAGTTCAAACCTTGCTTATTTCCTGTCCAGACTTTCTTTGATGATGAACTCTGATTGGAAGTGTAAGCTGAATAAACCCTTTCCTCCCCAAGTTGCTTGGGTCGTGGCGTTTCAGCACAGAAACAGTAACCCTAACTAGGACAACCTTTGTCCATTTGGGATTGATTCTTCTGTGTGCTGCGTGATAAGGATCCAGTTTCATCTATTGTATATGGATACCCAGAAAACCATTCATGGAAGAGACTACGCTTTCTTGGTATTTTGTCAAACATCAGTGACCCCCATGCGTTCTGGTTTATTTCTGGTTCTACACTAGGTCCCATCGATTTGTGTCTGATTGTTACGGCAGTGCCGAACTGTTTTTGTTACCATAAGTTTGTAATATAATTGATATCAGACAGTGTGATGCCTTCAGCTCTGTTCTTTCTCAATGCCACTTCAGTTATTTGGGGTCTTTTGTGTTCCAACCAGACTTTACCATCATTTTTTTTCTATATCTGTGAAAATGCCATTTGAATACTAGGAAAACGATTAGTGCATATTCACCGCACAAAGAAATGGATTTCATGATGATCTTTGTGTGCCAGTATATCATGTACATGGACCATATTCACTTTCCGTATTCACAGCCCCTCCTCCCCCACTTGTCCTTTTCCTCTTCCCCAAATACTTGACTTCCATTTGCATGCTACACATATATGTGTAAGCATGCAAACTTAGGCTGTGCAAGCGAGAGAAAACATTCAGCATTTGTCTTTTTGGTTCTTACTATTTGTTTTAGCACAATAATCTCCACTTCTGTCCATTTCCTGGCAAAAGCCATAATTTTGTTCTTTATGGCCAAATAAAACTCCATTGTATATGTGCCATATTTTCTTTTTAACCTTTTTTATTGATCCTTTGTGGATTTCACATCATGCATCCTGCTCCAACTCATCTCCCTGTTCCCTCACTTCCACCCTCTGCCTTTGCAGCCTCTCCCCGAAAACAAAATTTAAAAGTAAAACAACAACAAAAAGAACAACAACAACAACAATAACAACAACAACAACAAAACCAAAACCAAACCAAAACCCACCACCACCACCAACAAAAATTTCGGTGGGAGGCTGTAGTGTGGCTCAGTGAGTCATACATCTTCTCTTGTAAGTGTTCATTGCAATGAGTCATGGGTCTGGTTCTGGGCCTCTGGCTTCTGTTACACTATTGATAACGTCCCTCATGGATATTCTATTGTTATCTTGCGTCATGAAGATCCTGTAGCTTTGGATCTGCAGGTCTGGCCCCTTAACATGCTCCAGCAGTTCATAGATGAGGCGGGTGTTGGGGTTGGGCAACCTTGTAGTCCTGGTTCTGGGTTTGGGTGGTAGCTGGGTTGGTCAGCCCACCAGCTTTCCCTCATCACCACCCTGGCACTGCCCTGGGTAGCTCACCCAGTGTAGTAGTAGCAAGGAGCCTGGCCAGTTCTCTTGCTCTCACACCCTAGGGTCGGCTCACCTGCACTCACACCCCCAGGGCAAGCTGTACTTGACCAGCTCTCTCACCTGCTGCAGGAGGCAGGGGCTGAGGGGAGGGAGGGTATTTTCCCCCTCACCCATGCCACCACGTGGCAGATGTGGGGTGGGGTCAGCCCTCCTGCTCTCATGCTCCCCAAGCCAGCTTACTTGCACCCCTTGCCAACAGAGCCAGCTCTAGTGTGCCGCCCAAATGAGGTACACAGAGCCTGCTCTCCCCAGCTCGGCTAGTTGGGGGGTGGGGGTGGGGGGAGGGCAGTGCCAATTCTCCCACTCTTATGACCTCAGGGCCAGCCCAATTCTCCCACTCTTATGACCTCAGGGCCAGCCCACTCACCCGCCATGTTGAAGGTGGGGGAGGTGTTGAAGGGTGGGGGAGGGAGAGGTCATCTCTCCCCTCGCCCACTCCACCATGTGGCAGATGAGGAGTGAGGCCAGATCTCCCAGGCAGGTTCGAGGCTCCTGATCACCTGTGCCCTTCTCAATGGGGACAGCTCTACTATGCTGCCTGGGCGAGGTGCAGGGCTTACTCTCCAGAGTGCTGCATCTGGTGAGGGGTAGGATCAGCTCTCCCCTACCTGCAGTAGGTGAGGTGGTGAGGTGGAGAGGTGAGGACCAAGGTGGGTATTTCTCCCTCGCCCACACCACGGCATGACAGAACATGGGCCCAGCTCTCCCACCCTCATGTCTTCAGGGCTGGCTCACCAGCACTCCCACCAGCAGGCCTCTGGTAAGGGGCTGGCCTGGCGTGCTGCCCTGGGGAGGTGCAGGGCGCACTCTCCTGAGTGCTGTAGTTGGTGAGGTAGTAGCCCATTTTCTTCACGCATCTATAGTAGATTGGCCTATATTCCTTCCGGTATATTTTCAGGATTCATATAATCAATCTGAATCATGCAATAGTTATATTTGCATAGTTTGGTCAACCTCTGCACTAATTTCCACAGTTGGCTGCACTAGTTCCCATTTCCAACAGCGGTGGTTATACAAAGGTAATTTTCTCCATGTCCTCACCGTTAAAAAAACAAAATGCAATAGCCATTCTGACATGGATAGGATGGAATTTCAATGTAGTTTGATTTGTATTTTCCTGATGACTAAGGATATTAAACAGTTTTTTTTTCAAGTGTCAATTGGCCATCTGTACTTTATCTTTTCAGACACGTCCGTTCATTTTGTTGTGGTTGTTGTTTATTTCTTTTTGCTCTCTACTTTTTAGAATTGCTTCTATGTTCCAGGTATTACCCCTCTGTCATATATCTAACTGCAGAAGGCTCTCCTCCCACTCACTTGGATAATTTTTCTCCCTTTGTTGTGCAGTTGCTTCTTAATTTCAGGAAATACTTTCTGTTAACTTTTGGAATTACTTCCTGAATTAGTGGAAGTACGTTCAAGAATTCTTTGCCTAATTCTGTCTTGGGATCTTACCCCCCATCTTTTTCTCTAGCAGTTTCAAAGTTTCAAGTATTACATTGTCTAGTTTTCCCAGCACCTACTTGTTGAAGAGGCTATAATTTTTTTCAAGGTAAATTTTGACATTTTTTTTAAAAGTGTCTATAAATGTGTGGGTCTATTTCTGGGTCCTCTGTTCTGTTCCATCAATTGGAATGTCTGTTTTGTGTCAGTACGATGCTGTTTTTATTACTATGGCTCTGTAATATAACTTGAAACTGAATATCTCGGATTTTTCACTCAGAATTTTTTGTGCTTCCATACAAAATTCATAATCTTTTTTCCTGTTTCTGGGAAGACTAGGGATAATTTGATTTCTTCTTTTCTATTTTTATCCCATTTATTTCTTTTGTTTTATTGCTCTAGCGAAGACTAGAGCACTGTATTCATAAGAGTGGGTTGAAAAAGAGTGGAGAGAGTAGGCACACGTGTCTTGCTCTGGATTTCAGAGGAAGTACTTACAATTTTCCCCCCATTTAGTGTAATGCTGGCTACACGTTTTTCATGTATCTTTGTATCTTTGAGATTATCATGTGGTTCTGTTCTTAAGTCTGTCTATATGGTGTATTGTATCTATTAATTTGTGTGTATATTTGTACTGAACTGAACTTGCATCCCACGAATGAAACAACATGATGTGTTCTTGAACTCGGTTTGTAAAGTCATTCAAAGTGTATTGTTCAGTCTCCAAGCATAAAGTCAACTCGGCCATAGTGTATGAGGTTTTAAATTTGCTGTTGGATTCAGTTTGCAAGGAGCTAACTGAGAATTTTCACATCTGTGTTCATTGGGAGATTGTTCTATAATTTTCTTTTTTACTGTGTCCTTAACCACTTTTGTATCAGAGTAACTCTAGTTTCACAGAATAGATTTAGTAACGCTCCTTCCCTTTATATTTTATGGAATAATTTGGGGGAGAATTGGTGTGAGTTCACCATTAAATGTCTGGTAGAACTCAGCAGTAAGCCTGTCTGGTCATGGCTTATTTTACTTGATAGACTTTATTACTGCTTCAGTGTTATTGCTTGTTATAGTTCTGCTTAAGTTGGTTGTATTCCCTTGCCTAATTTAAAAAGTTATATGTATCTAAAGATTTGTCCATTCTTCTAGATTTTTCTACTTTACTGAAATACAGGTTCTTAAAATGTTTCCTTCTGATCCTCTGAATTTCTTTAGTATCAGTTGTAATGTCTGCCTTTTAACATCATTATTTGAATTTTGAGAAAGGTTGCATCGAATGTGAAGATTACAATAGCAGTCAATGGTCCCATTATGAGAAGAGAATGTGCCAGTTTGTTTCAGTTTTTTCTGCTGTAAGTCTTTATCACTGTAAACTTACTGATCTTTTTCTTGTATATTATGGTTTCTGACTTTGTATTTTTATGGGTTTTTTTTGTGTCTCTGTGCATGTGTGTATTTCTAGTGTTCTCTTTGTTCTTTGATTAGTTTGCTCATTTTGTTTTATTCTTGTTTGTTTGTCCTTCTTATTTGCCTGTTTGTTTTCTTAGAAGGGAGCAAAAAGAAGGCACAGACTTGGAAAGGTTTAGAGGTGGGGAGGATTTGAGAGGAGGTGAGGGAGAGGAAACCCTTATCAGAATATATTATATGAAAAAAAAACTTTATTTTTGAACATCTTTGGTTGACAGTTCATTTTCTTCCCTATGCTTTGAATATATAATTCTGCCTTGTCTATGCTTGAAACGTTTTTGCTGAGAAACTGTTGACAGTGTAATGAGTGTGCCCTTGTCTGTGACAAGTCTCTTTTCTATGGGTGCTTTCAAACTTTGTCACTAATACCCGGCAATTGCTGTATCATAGTGGCGTCTCCCTTTAGCTGATCTTTTAAAAAGCTGACAATTCCACGCAGGTGTACTGAGTTTTAGGCACTGTCACCTGTCCCCCATTACTCTCTGTTTTTCATTCACCCCTTTCTCCTGCTGAAGCTCTTCCTTACCCCCAAATCTCCTCTCCACTTTGATGTCTTTTCTAAATCCACAGGCCCTCAATGAAGGGCGGCAGGGCCTCACTCGAGCCTCCCCCGTTTATGAGGAAATGGTGACAGACTCAATCTCGCGCAGGTCAAATGCAGATAACCACATTTGTAGTGAGTTCATGAGTGTAACAGTCTTGCCGTATTCAGAAGACACTGTTTTTCGGTCCTCCCCAACCACTGGCTCTTACACTCTTTCTAACCCTCTTTCCAATCTTCCCTGAGCCTTGGCACTGGGAATAGTGTAGAATCCCTGTTTATGGCCACACAGTCAACAGTCATTTATTCTCCACATCACCACTTGTGAGTCTCTGTGAAAACCACTGCCTACTCAAAAAGAAGCTTCCCTGATGAAGGCTGTGAGCGTCACTGATCTAGGCGTATAAAGATATGTATTTAGAAGACAGTTTGGCTCCATGTCCACTCACCAAAATAATGGCAGTAGGTTCTCCCTCAGAGTTTTTGACTTCTTTAGCCACAGTTTTTGACTAGGTTTACACTACTAGCTATCAGTTCCCTCCTCTGGAGAGAGTCTCAGCTCCAACCGGACAGCGGATGGTGATCCCCACAGTAGTCATACCGCCACTGTACCAGCGGGCCTGACTTTCCAGGCAGGCTATTCCTGTAGCTTCTGGGGTGCACAGCTGGTCAAGACCACGGATGACTCTTGCCTTCCAGAAACTTGCATAGTACCTTCTGGCACTATGAAAGTTGGGGACTGAACATTTTGAGATCTTAGAGACTTATGTACCTAGATTTGGGAACTTTTCAGGCATTATTTTTCTTTTAAAAGAAGCTTTTATCCTCTCCTTGAAAAATCTCATTAGCCTTTGGAATTTTGTCAATCCATAGAGTTTCTAGGTGGTATTCCCCAGATCCCATGTCCTTTATTATTCCTTCTCATTATTTTTCCTTTTATTTTGAATAATTTCAAATGACTTTGAACTCTTGTATTCTATTGCTTGAAAGAGCCTGCAGATGAAACTGTCCATTGCGTTTTCATTGCATTCATTATTTTTCAGCTCCATAACTTCTGCTGAAATTCATTTTTATGTATAGTTTACTTGATGATGTCGACTTGTTTACTGTGCCGGACAGTTTACTGTCCACATGACACAAGCGAAAGTCATCTGGGAGGAGGGAGCCTCAGTTAAGAAAATACCTCTATGTGCAAGCCTGTAGGGCATTTTTTTAAATTAGTGATTGATGGTGGGGGGCACAACGCATTGTAGGTGGTGTTATCCCAGGGTTGCTGGCCCTGGGTGCTATAAGAAAGCAGTCTGAGTAAGCTACGCTGAGCAATCCAGTAAGCAACATTCCTCCATGGCCTCTGTATCTGCTACTGGCTCCAGGTTCCTGTCCTGCTTGAATTTCTGTCCTGACTTCCTTTGATGATGAACTGGGATGTGGAAATGTAAGCTGAATAAGCCCTTTCCTCTCAAAGTTTCTTTGGTTATGGTGTTTCATCACAGCAATAGAAACCCCAATTAAGACATTTACTTTATCTACTTGTAGCTTTATTGGTCTTTTAAAAATAATTATTTCAAATTAGCTGCCAGATAATATCTTTTCATCTCTCTAGGATCAGTTACAGGAAAAGCATTGTGCTTGTGGAGGGCATTATGTTTCCTTGTTTTTCTTTCTTCCATTTTTAAAGCATCTATATTGAGTTCTTTGTATTTGAAGAAACATTCATTCATTCAGTTTTCACTGACTAGATAAAGAAGGAAGATGCCTTCACTAAGTAGGCCATTTAGGGATCTGCATTCTCTATGGTTGCACTCACTGGAAGTCTCTTGTTGCTCACTGTGGAGGATTCTTAAGGTTGCACACCTTCTTTCAACTTTGCAAAGCCATGGTAGGTAAAGAAAATCATGTGCTAGCGGTGGTGCTTGGAAACAACAGTGTGTGTGCCTTCATCCAATCTGGTATAAGCTAAGCTAGATGACGCCATATGCTTTTGAGCCATTTGAAAAAAAAAAAAAACTAATATTCATCACCTACAGTTGTGGTTGGGCCAGACTTGTTGAAGGAACCAGCCATGAGGGTGGGCAAGTTTGGCACATAGAGTGTTTGGGAAAACCAATGGGCCAGTTGTAGAGGTGTTGACAGGCAAGACATCCTCCCTCAGTGGCTCATGGGCACGCCTCCTGGTGGAGTCCCCAAGCAGCTAAGAGTGGC